TGCTGCAGCGAATGAGCCTTGTCTTTCAAACATCGTAACACTGTTGCCGGGTCTCAAGTGTTGAGTGCAATGTAATGCCCAAGAAAAGGGTCCCGACGGTTCGGTGAAAAAAATAAATGTCTGACCGCGGGGGGTTTTCGGGACGATTTTCTGTTGTCTGTTATGCGTCCTCTTCAAATACACTATCGTAAATTGACAAATTTTATTTATTTGTAACAACTTCCGTTCGAAGGAATGGTGTCAGTGGCCATAATAGATGATGGATATTTGAGTCATCTATTCGAATATGCCCTAATTCTGAGAAGGCCCGCATTCCTCTCCCTTTACCTGATCATCTGATTGTTGATATTAGCACGGATGGTGCGAATATGGATAATAAAAGTAAGATAAATATGTGGCCCATCCAAATGAGGGTTGTGAATATTGAAAAATCCACTCCAATTATCGTTGGAATCTTTCGTGGATTGACAAAACCGGCGTGTTCCAGAGATTTCTTCTCTGATTTCATTTCCGAATGGAAAAACATTCAAGAGGATGGAGGAATTACAATTGAAGACAGAACGATAAAGCTGTGTATTCGATGTGTAATTGCTGATGCACCAGCTCGAGCTTTTCTTCTCTGCCACGTAGGACACCGTGGCTACAATAACTGTTCGAAATGTACCATGGATGAAACTCCCCGCACGGATGTAGATTATGCGGCTATGACAGATGAAAGTCATCATCACGGTCCAAGTTTTCTGGCAGATTTAGGAATCGGCATGGTGTCTCAAGTGGCTTTTGAGTGGATGCATTTATCTCTGTTGGGAACCACAAAACGACAAATAAGAGCAGCGGTAACTTACAACCGACGATTCCACAGTTACGTTAGACTTGATGATACACAGATTGATATAATCAATAGCCGAATGCGCATAATCGCTGAATATACACCACGTGAATTTTCGAGACGGCCGACTGACATTAGGCAATATCACAAGATGAAAGCAACAGAATTACGTCAGCTAATTTTATATACTGGACCAGTCATCAATCATGGAGTATATAAAAGCAATATTTACTATCATTATTTGTTATACCACGTTGCGCTGCGATATTTCGCATCTCCCCATAGCTCGCCACACCATGTGACCTTGGCAGGTACACTGATGAATCAGTGGGTAAAGGGATGCAGCAAATTATACGGAGAAAAATTCGTGACGTATAATGCTCATGGTCACCTCCACATGGTAGAAGATGTGAGGAGGTTCGGGTATTTGGATTCATTCTCTGCCTTTCCATATGAGAATCTTACGCAATATTTGAGAAGAATGTTGAGGAAACCAGCACACCCATTGCAACAAATCGCGCGGAGAATTAGAGAGAAATCCAATAGCAAAGGAGAAACGAGGCATCATCATACACTCACTGTGAAGTCGTCACAACCTCATTCTAATGGCCCACGAAGGCCCGATGATATGGACGTATGTAGCGAAGAATATGTGCAATACAATCTGATAAAAACCGATGATTTCACGCTCGGCACTAATCAGCGCGACAACTGCTGCATTTTGAATGATTCCAGTGTTTGCCTTATTCTCAACATTTTTGCGGCAGCTACCAAGGGATACCAGTTGGCTGTCCAAAAATTCCGGAACATGGAGTCTTGGTTCCCTACTGGACTCGATTCAACGGAAGTAGGAAGTTTTAAATGTTCTAAGCTGGAACCGACATTACATTATGTTGATTTGAGTGAAATAGTTGCCAAGTGTTATCGGACACCGTAATGGCCGCTTCCTGAACCGAATAATCTACCACCTGACAAGCCATCACCTGGAATATTTATTGTAACAGTAATGTTGTAGCAGTAATAAACAATAAAGGGGTTTATTGGACACAATGAACGACAACAATGAAGCATGGACATCAAATAGGTGAGTAAAATGAGTAATTGAGGGAAAAACGGAAATTTTATCATACAAAATGTATTTTGGCTCTTTCATACCCAACGTATTGAATTTTCTAAACAAGAGATTGAATTTTTTTGGTTCATTTTTCGATCTCTAATTTTGAATTAAGAAAATTTCAAGTAGATATCCCAACAATAGAAAAACAAACAACTTAGTCGGGGAAGACACTGGGAAAAATAGTCAAATTTATTTGTATTACAGGAATATTCTCTAGAATTCGCTCGGTGAACCCTTCGACGTCTATAGAGGTGGTATGAGTACAATGGGGGATCAAATGCTGTCTACCAGTCTCCAATAACTTTTTTTAAACACTCTTAAAAATGATCTCCATGCAAATTCATGAAACTTCTCTATTGTATTGTATCTAAAAATATATTAAAAATATTTTGAATAATCGATTTTTTCATCGTGGTTTATTAATACGCCCCTAAATTAAGTCAACACTCCATTGGTCGCGCTGGACTTACGAACGTCGTTGGTCGCGCCCTTAGCACCGCGCTGCACAGCAATAATCGACATAATGGTAAATTTGAAAGATCTATGAAAAATCTGAAAAAAATCAACAGTGATCCAGATCCTATACTTGAGGGAGTCCCATGGGATTTTTCATCCTCAGTGTTACCCTAAATTATATATTCAAATTATATATTCCGGGATAAAAATTTCAAAATCTTACTACCCATGATATTTTTGATGGAAATTTTCATTGATTGGACTTTTAGACACTTCAAAATGAGATGTCAAATTTTTTCAAATTTTTCTCAGGCTTTACTGCAGTGTTATTTAAAAAATTGGAAAAAGTGCGGCACGGTGCTCATAGCGCGACCAACAGAGTGTTAAATGCTCTTGCAACAGGAGCAACAGAGACGACACTAGGCGAATCCCTGCGCAAGACAGAGACACCCCGGGTTATGCGTGCGACGTCGCGCGCCGATAGATAAATGCTAATATCTCGAAAACTGTAAATCGTTGAGACTGGAAGAAAAAACTATTTCATCCACCATGAAATTACATAAATTTTTTGGTACCCTATTTTCACCTATTTCGGCTGCACGGAAATTAAGCGATTCATTGATTCCCAGAAGTCAATCGTTAGTTAATCAAATAAATTCGTGGGAAGAGCAAAAGTCTTATTCACCGCAAAAATTATTAAGCAATAAGAATAATTTTCTCGTTCATTGCGTTCTCGCTCAGTTGTCTATAATAATACTCATAATGATGAATACTAACATGTATTCATAGGCTGGAGATTAATAATAGAATAAAAATCATTTGAATCAATAGGAGACATCAGTATCAGTTAGTCTACATGTTTGCAGTATGCTAGCTCATTAATGATTGGACAAAAATCATAAACATGGAAAGACCCGAATGGAATCTCACTAGAAACAATTTTGCAAATACTGGCGATTATAGAAGAAAGTTACAAATTTATAGAACACAGAATTTTCTAACGAAACTGTTACGACATACGTAACGGGAGTTTTATTAAGTCAACGTTGCATCGTTCCTTTGATGCAATCGTTCCTTCAAGTTCATTACGGATTGAGGCAATCGAAAGAATTCCATTGCCATCTACTGGTTTACTCAAGAATCACCGAAATTCACCGTAGAGACGAACTAGACCGTAGAGCCATCTCTCATAGACTTTGAAAAATATGGTTTACTCCACCCCCCTAAGCCGTTAAACCAAAACTCGTTATAGGAATTTACTGCAACCCCATAAACCTTCGACCCTCTGAATTAATCCTGTTAGTCTGTCGATGTTCATCTGACCGAGCCATGCTCTTGCTGTCGACAGGAGCAGGGCAGAAGGTCTATCAATCCCTGTCGACAGAGGCGCGGCAAAAGTTCGGATTTTGGCTATCTGGGTATTCATTAATTTGGATTATCTTGGCCTCATTTCATGATCCTTTTCACAATTTTTACTTTATCACTCATTTTGTCACCTTTTTCACTGTTTTTTTTTCAAAATTTTTCCTAACATCTCAAAATTTTTGTGATTTTTTTTTAAGAATCTTGAAAATTTTTGCTGAAATCTTTGAAAAAATCCAAGCTATTTCTCAAGTAATTTCTTGCTTTTTCATTTCAATCAAAGTGCAGTGTTCGGGGTCACGTTCCTCCTTCTCATCAATTTTATTAGGAAAATTTCGGCGTTTTTTTATAGATTGTTCTCCCATTGTTTTTTTTTTTAAATTCACAAATATTTGAGAAATACCTAAAATCTTCTCTACTTTCCGAAAAACCTCTGGATTTCCTGAAGTTTCTTCAGAAATCCTTATATTTTTAATTCTTTGAAAAACTCCTAAAGTATTTTATGTTCGGAAAAGACCGACGGTTCTCTGATTTTGTAAGGAATCTGCAAACTTTCTTGAAGTTCCTAGAACTGGATTTCATGAAGAAACACATCCCTTCATTTTTTAAAATATTCTCTCAATCAATCCTCACATCAGGAATAGAACCTGCCCTAAAATTTTCATATTTCTAGCTTCAATAATTTAGACTTTGCATTATTACCTCAGGCAAACTGAAAGGTTGTCTTCATTTTCATCACGCAATTGCGGCAATGATGTTCATTGTTCATAAACATTCTCATTGCAAAAAGCAATACTACTAAAGAAAATAATATATCCCAACTTATTAGCAATTAATTTTTTTTCTCATTGTGACTCATTTCTCAACTTTCTCTCAAACATAATTCAGAGAGTAAATTGCTTGAAGTCAATGTTTGGTGAAACTTTGGTTAAAGCGCACCCCAACGTTGCTATGAAATTTTTTAATCCGTTCGTTCGGCAATTCAATTAATCAGTTGTTCATATCATCATTCCGTACTTGGAATTTCTTAAAATATTTTTCAAATTCAAAATTCGAACTTAAAATTACAATTTGACTTCTGCTCCTTGATTTTTTGTGAATTGAAAATTCATATAAATCATTACATAAACATTCTAATTCTTGTTCTTTGCTGTCATGGAATGTTAAGTTACAGCCTTTTATTCTTAATACAACTTTTTAATGCAAATATTGTGCGGTTGAAAATTCATGTAACTTGAGAGTTTTTATCTTCATGCTATTAAAAAGTGTTGATTTTTATTGAATTTTCAGTGAAATTTGAAATGTCATAACTTTTCCCTCTCAAACTGAAATCAATGGTTTTCCTCTAAAAATTGCTACTAAACTGAGCATGAAATTTTATTTATTTTTTTTCAACAGTTTAATTGCTATTTACCCATAACTTTTAGAGAACATTTAAAAAATCTTGAAAGTGGAAAATAGAAAGTCAACTTACCGAAGTAGACTACGACCATGGTTATTTTTTATGTAAACAATTTAATAGCTTCTATTTTTTCACTCTCGAAGTGAAAAATTGATGATCATTGTAATAGTATTTTTTCCTGAATTTTTATGAATTTTTCCGCTTCCGGAATTTCACTGAACATTAATTTCATGCCAAAGAAATTTAATGTCTTGTTCGTAATCGTTCGCGTTGCAAAAAGCAATGCGAATGATGAAAATGATATGTTCCAATTTATTAGTTGTTAATTCTTCATATTGCAATGAATTACTCATCTGCTAATTGCTATGATCACGGAGTAATATTTCAATCATAAAATTATTTTCTCGAACGTAATTCAGAGAGTAAATTTCTGAAAGTCAATGATTGTTGATACTCTAGTAAAAGTGGGTGTCAATACTTATAAATTTTTCTAATTAGCTCATTCGGTATTTCACTTAATTTGTGAGTCATATGATCAATACAATTCTAATATCAACACCTCATATATTCAGCACAAAATAAATAATCAAAAGTTAAAATAAATTCATGATAATGATGCAGATCAAATGACATCAATATGATCATTCTAATTCTCAGCTATTACGAAATGAGTCACAGATTTTTTTTTTCACATATAAATTTTGAATTTGGATACTGTTGTTTTT